GGTGGTGGTGGTGGTGGTGTCAGTGGTGTCAGTGGTGGTAGTATCAGTTGTGGTCGACGCGGTGGTGCTGGTGCTGGTGCTGGTGCTGGTGCTGGTGCTGCTGCTTGTGCTGGTGCTGCTGCTGGTGCTGCTGCTGCTGCTGCTGCTGCTGCTGCTGCTGCTGGTAAGTCATGAATAATTTTCAGTCCCCGCAGTATCAGCTCTCGTAGTTGAGATAGAAGTAGTGTTGCTGCAGCAACTAGTTGCTAGTTGTTACTATGATGTTTGCAGGTCACTGGGACTGGGATGCTACGGTTGCGCAAGCTGAAGAAAGAGTCATACTCACACTGCTACGCAGGGATACAGCCGGAAGAGTTTACCGCAGCATGAGCAGGAAGCCTTTTCACGCAGGGGAATCCGGTACAGCACGGGCCGTTGTTTGTCAGACAGATAGAATGGTGAGCAGGAAGCCGTTGACGTGTCAATAGGCAACGAGTCTTAACGTAGAACAAGCTGGTACCAAGGCACTCCGGGGCGCCGCCTGGCACGCAAGTTCAGCAGCTCTTCACTGGGAGGTTCATATCCTTCGGGCTTAGACTCGCTTCATGCAGTCCCTGAGGACAGGTTTTGGAGCATGAGACCCGAAGGCCTTCATGCTGCCGCCAGGAGAAAAAGCCCCAACTTGTCATTGAAAGGTAAAGCTAGTACAAAGTACTAAGTAAGACCCGGGTTTTCGGGGAAAGGCTAGCGAGAGTCACCCGAAGCCGTAAGAGGCCTCGAGGCACACAAACTGCAAAACAGAGCTTGAGGTGTCTGCGTAAACGCCCGAAACTCGAGACGGCGACCTGATTTAGCACACTCTCATCAACGCCGGACTGCAGACAGAAGGTTCACGTCAGCATGGGAAGGGATGCAGCAGACCAACACATCTACATGGGCCCGAACGTTGGGCAAGCGGGGACCTGTAATTGCATGTTGCATTAGCTGGAACCACGACAGACGGCACATTCAGCACTTGCACGTGGATGCTTGTTTGAATTTGATAGGCGGCAGTTACTCCAGATGTGTGTAAGGCGTCAGCGGGGCCTTGGGTTGCAATCCAGGGTTGAACACGTGTCGGTCTCTTCACGTTTCTTTACGTCAGATAAGGAGTCTCACCTCTAGGAGCTACACAATCGTCGCAGCGACTCATTCTTGTTCTTGATTTGGAGAACTTGTGGCAATTGTCTGGTCCAAACCTACTGGACCTGCCAGAATCCCTGAATGCACTGAAACCCGGAAGCTCCCCCAGTCCTGAACTCGCTATTTGAGGCGTCGAGGTTTCTCCGGCGCGGGATTCGAAGCTTTGGCCGAAGGGATTGTGTCTTCTCATCATCCCGTAAACGTTCGCTGAGCTTTCTGAGTATCTGCCTGGGGTTCATAAATTGAACTTGAGGAGTTCAGTCTCTCAACAGTATTGAAAGAGAGTCTTGTCTGGCATCTTGAGGTTCAGATGAGGGAGCAATGGCAAAGAGGCATTTCGGCTTGCGTGGGCAGGGAGTTCCTCTTAAATGTTTTCCCCTTGCCCAGGCCCAACCTGTGCCAACAGCACACCCCGCTAAATGCCAGTTGCGCTTCATGAATCCAGGTCGGTTGTTTGTTTTGATTGGCAAATCTCTTTCTCTTTGCTTCAAGCCCGGACATCCTCAGATGCACAGCCTGTCACCAGAGCTTGTGACGTCCAAGGATACCAGAGGCCCGAGGCCTGGTCCCAAGGCAGGTCGGCAAATTCAGACGGCACGATGTCGCTTCCTCCTTTGCTAAGGGCGGAAGGGAAGAGATGGCCAGAAACATCAGTATTCTTGCTAAAGATGTGCCTAATTTCAGCCGCATCTTCGGATGGGCACTGCTAATAATGCTGCTGTTGGTCCTGCTCACTGCTCCTGCTCACCACCACTACTACTACTACTACCACCACCACCACCACTACCACTACTGCCGCCGCCACTACTACCCCCTCTATAAGTCTAGGCCACGCCGGCCACATCAGCACAGTGCGGCGATAAGTCATATCTTGATTATGGA